CGATCTCCCCGTTCGTGCGTTCGAGCTCCACGTTGGGCTCTGTGCTGACAGCTCGGAGCCTGGAGCCTGCTTCGGATTCTGTGTCTTTCTCTCTCTCTGCCCCTCCCCTACTCGTGCTCTGTCTCTGTCTCTCTCTCAAAAATAAATAAACATTAAAAAAATTCAAAAAAAAGAAAAAGAAAGAAGAAACCATTCACAAAAGCATCGAAACATTGATGAGTATTTAGGAATTAGCCAAGAACACTGTAGAATATTTCTGAGGATCAAACTTTAATAAAAGACATCTAGGTAAATGAAAAGGAACTCCATCCTCTCATAGAGGATAATTTAATGTTGTAGAGACATCGTTTCTCTCCGAACGAATCTGTTAATTCAAGTTCATGTCAAGAATTTTGAGACATATCTTAAACAATATCCAAAGAGACATTCATCACTTTAAATACATTTATCAGGAATAAAAACCAAATAACTACAACCTAACAGGTTTAAAGTCAAAATTGAAGGTGGGTTTTCCCCTGTATAAAACGTTACTGAAAGCATGTGCTTGAGGGAATAAAAGTACACAAATAGCCAAAGCACCACCAGAGATTTTTGGACTCAAACAGAAATCCTACAGGGTCATTTTCTTCCTTGGCTTAATGTTGTCACCTTTAGAAACAGAATATAAGGGGCAGATCTTGCCCTATCATGTATTCATGCACACGCAAAGCCAAAAGCAATTTGTAAAAACCCAGTGTGGGGGGCGCCTGGGTGGCTCAGTCGGTTGGGGGTCTGACTTTGGTTCAAGTCATGATCTCATGGTCAGTGGGTTTCAGCCCCACGTCGGGCTCTGTGCTGACAGCTTGGAGCCTGCAGCCTGCCTCCGATTCTGTGTCTCCCTCCTCTCTGCCCCTCCCCTGCTCATGCTCTGTCTCTCAAAAATAAATAAATGTTTTAAAAAACAACAACATAACAGTGTGGCATTTGTTCCCAAACAGACAAACATCAGCGGGTAGACACCAACAGAGAGCTGAGAGATGGGCCAGGGAGCAGTCCTGGGTGTCTCCTCTCCTGTGCAGTTCTAGGGGTCATCCCCACCCCCTCCCCAGTCCTGCCCCTGACCTGGTGCCCTTCCCCCACCTCTCATCCCTTTTCTGAGCATGTGTTTGGAGCTAAAACGGTCCTGCAGATCACTTAGAATCTCAAGACTGTTTAAAGGACCGGATTGTCTGAGAGATCAATCACAAGAGGAAAAGAAAAGAAGTCACTCCGGCCTTGACCCCCAATCTTTGCCATTGTGTTTATTTGCCACTTGCTCAACCCCTGACGTGGTGGCTTCTGTTACGTGCGTTCTCAAGCACGATTGTTGCCCTAGAGGCTTTTGTGGAAAGGAAGAAGGAAGCGGGAGCTAACACCATACATTTCACGCAGATCATCTGTTTTGTGAAACCCCTTGTTGCCCAGGGCGAAGAGGTGCAAAGACTCATTGGCGTCCCATCACCTCCTCTTAGACATTGCCGGATCTCAGGCTCGAGTGGAGTGTCGACCCCCAGGGCTGCCAAAGCAAAGCGCCCCACACTAGGTGGCCTTCACAATGGAGATTGTACTCTCTCCCAGCTTCTGGTGTCGCTGGCAAGGCTTGGCATCCCTTGGCTTGTAGACGTATCCCTCCCACCTCTGCCTCTCTTGTCACACACGGTCCTCCCTGTGTGTCTGGGTTCTCCTCTTCTTATAAAGATACCCGTCATATCAGATTACACGCCCACCATACTCCATCTGAATGGGTTACATCTGCAAACAACCTGATTTCCAAATAAGGTCACCTTCTGAGGTTTGGAGCGGATGTGAATTTGATGGCGGGGGCGGGGGGAACCCTATTCAGCCAAGCACAGGCGTGCTTGCTGGCTTAATTTTCCATTAGACTGGCTTTGGCATCATCTAAACTCTTTGGGACGCACCTATTCTTGTGTCCCGCCATTGTTTTCGCCATGAAACCATGGTTATCGTGAGACATTTGCACACGCGTTGATTCTGTAAGCGTTTGTCAGGCATCTGCTGTGTGCCAGGGATTGTGCTGGCGAGGACATCGAGGGGTTCACATTCTGGGAAGGGAACAGACACCTAAACAAACAAAATCGCAAGAAGTTGAAACAGACGCTAAAATGAGGAGCACAGAGATGGGAACCTCACCAGGCCAGCAAAGGCTGTCCTTAATGAGAATGCGGTGGGGCTTGCAGGGAGGCAGGAAGGGAAGGGAGCCTGGGGAGGAGGACCAGTGCATGCAAAGGCACAGAGACCTAGAAGAACATTTGCATTGGAGGAGCCCCACGCATTTCAGGTTGCCCGAGGGGTGTGGAGTGTGCAGGCTCAGCCAGCGAGGAATCTGGAAAGACCATCCCAGTGAGAGGGCAGACAGGCACAGAGCTCCTGCTTGTGGGTGGTGGGGCGGGCTCTAAGCAAGGGATAAAAACGGAAGCACATGAATTTTTAAGAAGGTACCTGGGAGCAGCAGGGAGGATAGATTGAAGGCAAAGGGACAGGTAGGGAGACCTCAAATGTAATCATGTCTTTTTAAAAAAATTTTTTTAAACATTTATTTATTTTTGAGAGACAGAGAGAGGCAGAGCATGAGCAGGGGAGGGGGAGAGAGAGAGAGAGTGATACAGAATCCGAGGCAGGCTCCAGGCTCCGAGCTGTCAGCACAGAGCCTGGCACGGGGCTCGAACCCACGAACCGTGAGATCATGACGTGAGCCAAAGTCAGATGCTTAACCGACTGAGCCACCCAGGGGCCCCCAAACGTAACCACGTCTCAAAATTAGTCCAGACCAGGGAGGCTGTTGCATGGGAAAAGGTGGGGAGAGGCCTGGGGGAGGAGCTCAGGACAGGGTAGGAGGACAGGAGTCCGGGACGTGGCGGGAGGCGGTTCTTGGACCCAAAGCTATGCTCAGTGACGTGTCCAGAACACTTTGGGCTCAAAGACTATGGACCACATACACATAAATGATTTCTATCACAATGGTCTCCGAGAACTTAGCTTTCTAAATCTGTAAAGTTAGCATTTTGATGCTGATCGTTAAGGATGTGTATCTATTTCAATGCCAGGGACAGTTAAAAGCATTTCAGAAACACTTGGAAGGCATTTTTGCTGAAGGAAATTTACTGCAGCCACTGAATTCCATAGATAGAGACAAGAGGAAACTAATTCAGAGTTCTGTCGTGGCGCTCTAAGCCAGCTCCTCACTGCTCTGCCACAAACGTGTTCTCTAGTTTGTTCTCTAGATCGATGAGGGGAACGGACCCAGTGATGCTGTACTGTAGTGACAATTATAGGAATGACATTCACACACACACACACACACACACACACACACACACACCACATCTTAAAATTAAAAGCAGTCTGGGGGCACCTGAGTGGCTCAGTCAGTTAAGCATCTGACTCTTGGTTTCAGCTCAGGTCATGATCTCATGGTTCGTAAGTTCGAGCCTCAGATCGGGCTCTGTGCTGGTGGCATGGAGCCTGCTTGGGATTCTCTCTCTCTCTCTCTCTCTCTCCCTCCCTCCCTCCCTCCCTGGTTTGCTCTGTCTCTCTCTCAAAAAAATAAATAAACATAAATTAATAAATTTATATAATTTATTAAATTAAATTAAAAACAGTCTGTTATTAATAAGCAGTTCACTATTCTTTCTTTCTTCTTCCTCCCTCTCTTCCTTCCATCTTCCTTTAGAACAGCAAACTTAAGCATCACCTAGAAGCTATTTCCTGGTTTTGCACACTTGGGGCCAGGAAATGGTGATGATAACTCAGAAGTAGGTCCACTCAATCCAGCTATCTACAGATAACAACACCTAAGGATTGAAAAACAAAAACAAAACCTCTACATATCTTTATGAAGATAAGACTGCTTTAAGAATAATGGAAACCGGGGCGCCTGGGTGGCGCAGTCGGTTAAGCGTCTTCAGCCAGGTCACGATCTCGCGGTCCGTGAGTTCGAGCCCCGCGTCGGGCTCTGGGCTGATGGCTCGGAGCCTGGAGCCTGTTTCCGATTCTGTGTCTCCCTCTCTCTCTGCCCCTCCCCCGTTCATGCTCTGTCTCTCTCTGTCCCAAAAATAAGTAAACGTTGAAAAAAAAAATTAAAAAAAAAAAAAGAATAATGGAAACCGTGCAGATGTAACAACATACTAGAACTCATCATGCATGTGCGTAGATTAGGACGCGTCAAGAATACGGCTGAGCACGTATGCTTTCGCAGCTCGACTGTGCCAAAGGTGTGGTGGTTGCTGGGCCAGCATGGTTAAGGGCACAGTTATGCTGACCTGTGTCCCTCTCTTCTGGGCTCCAGAATCCTCTTCTGTGGGGTCCATCCTGCTCTGGCTCATCAGTCCTGCAAGGATGTCTGATTTCTGTTTGCTAAGGTGTCTCATCTCTTTCCACTAAGCCTTGACTTCTGCTTACACATCTGTCCAAACCTCAGGCTTTGAGGTCTGAATCTTTATCAGTTGGTATAAATGAAAGCCTTGTAAATTCCAGGCGGTCTTCGTGAACTGAACCACTGAAATGTCACCTTTCTGCCTCTTCACTGCGGTTGGTCACAGCTCTGATTTCCCTGTGGGGAAGGACGGTCCTTCCCTTGGAAAGGGTTCATCATCTCCTGCTAGGGTTCATTGAACACGACAGTAGCCACGATACTCCCTGCAAAACACCATTAATTATCAGCCCAACCCGTCCTGTCCCTGGAAGCCAACAGGCCTTGCTGTTTACAGACAGCTTAGGCAAGTCTGCAGTTAACCTGGGAAAACGCTCGGTTTCTACTGGGCGTGGCTTCAAGCTTCTACTGGGCGTGGCTTGAAGATGGCAGGTGGTTTCACCTTTCAGTAGTCTCTGAGTTTATGCGGGTTTTATTCAACAGGTTTCCAAAGTCAGTTTTTATTATCTCACCCTTCTTCCGCACCTTTTGCTACAGAACCTTTACTTCCTGCTGCTACTAAGATCCAAGCCCCCGTTCACCACAGCTAACGTTTTTCTTCACCGCAGAGTTGGTTCCCTCCTAGGGATCGCTGTTGGAACATCTGGGCTCAGCTTCCAGAGACACACGGGTAAGTTGCTGCCCCTTTAAGGACGCTGTTTCTTAGCAACGATGGATTGTTGGCCCTGTTTCCTATCAATGGATTCTCTGTAAGCCGTGTTCTGCTAAGTTTCCAAACTAACCATTGAGAAGTAGTAGCCGATGCACTGAAACTAGCATGCTATTCCAAAAAAAAAAACAAAAAAAAAAGTCAAAAAAATCTAATCAGAGTAACATGTCGTAGGACTATTCTAGTTGTACTGATTCATACTATTATCAGTGTTGCTTAATATTTTCTGTGAAGCTCCAAATGTGCTTTTTGTTTCAGTGCCTGGAACAACTGTGGCCAACAAAATTTAAATATATACATCTAAGTCTCTAGGTACACATACATATTCATATATTTACGTATATATACTTTACTTTTGATTTCTTCCGTTTACATTTCATTTTCCTTTGCAATTCTTCACGTGCTTATTGGTCGCTCATGTTTCTTGTTGAATGACTGGTCAGTGCGGGGCAAGTGTGACCTTTGTCTGCAGAGACCTCATCCGGACCCCTGCTAACCAGCCAGGAAAGCATGGGTTCCACTCAGAGCCTCAGATTATATGTCATTAAAGCAAGAAACTTGGACCAGAGAATCCTCGGGTCCTTGCAGGCTCTCGGTATTTATGATTCCAGGAATAACTTCTCTTCATACTCAGAAATAAGTGCCAGGGAGGGAAGCTTCAGAGCACCATGAGAGGAGGAAATAAGGGGACCCCGCTTATTTTGGGGGCCATGGAAGTCTCCTTGGAGAAGAGGTGGGACCATAAGTAGAAGCGAGCAGTTGCAATGGGGACCAATAAAGGAGAAATGGCAGTGATAAAGACAAAAATACATCCAGTGACACCTGTTACACATGGAAAGGCAGTCTCCATTTGGGACCACTGTGATAAGCACAGAGATCGCCATGATGGGGTTTGGCAGTGGAAGTAAGAGGGGGTCGTCTCCAAATACCGCATGGGCAAGTAGGGATTTCTAGCCAAGGGGCAGGGTGGGGATCAGTGGATGGAAAATTACTAAGAGGAAACATCAGGAATAAAGGAGGTTCTGGCTACACCTACCTGCTGAGTCTTGCTGAAGACAGGCCAGACGTGACCACGTATCACCTGGGGGCTGGATCCTGGTCAGATATTGAGGGCCATCAGATAGCCAGGGCAGGGGGTCCTGGTCAATCTCCTGAAGCAGGACTCTTGCGAAAGCCAGATTTTACAAGGTGGTGCACAGATAGGTTCAGGAACCTGACTGGAGTTTGGTCAAGCAAAGAATCTTTGTCAGGGGTGGCAGGGACATTTGGGATTAAATGATTAAATTTAATCCAATGGGCTTTATGTTAGACTAAGTGATTAAGTCTAAGGCTGGGCATGGAAGACACGAGGACATCTGAATCAGCCTCTGAGAAAGATACGAATAAGCTGGAGGGTGCTGTCGTTCCCAGTATCTGTTCCCTTTGCCATGTACTTTCTCCGTGTCCACCCACTGAGGGCAGGGTCACTTCCCCATGCCTTGGTGGTGGGCCCAACCATGTGATTTGCTTGGGCCAATGGGGTGTTGTAGGCACGGAATGTTCCCATGCGCTTCCATTGGATCTGTGTTTCTGCCATTTATCCAAGGGGCCCTGCTGCGCCTGGAGGGAAGATGGTGGCCATGTAGAGCAGAGCCACCTCCAGCCATGCTGAGTCTACACTAGCTGACCCCCGGTCAACCCACGGGCTCGGGAGCTACATAAACACCTATTGCCCCATGCTGCGATCGATGACATTCGGAAGTAAGGCTACGGTTATCTGCTATATGGCAAACTTGGGCTTGAGTGGAGCTAATGTTGACCTCCAGGGCACTTCAAGCCACACCGCAGGAAGAATTATGTCTGTTTCCAGGGAGTTCCAACACCGGGTAGAAGCCTGGACACTGACTTGGGTTAAGGCAAGGAAGTCCAGTGGGACCCTAGGAAGAAGGAACTGGTGGGCTGTAGAAAGGCCACCAGAATCCAGGCAAAGGGAAGGGGAATCAGCAAAACCAACTTAACAAAGAAACAAGAGTAGATCCAGGAACCATGTGGGAAGCCTGCTGTATTAACCGGAATGGATAGAAGGTGTTGGAGGAAGGTCAGAAAGAACTTCATGGCCTGTGCATGTCCTGGGGAAGAGCCTGATATCCCTGCTCATGGGAACAGCACGGATTCAAAGCACACTGCCCTTTGGGACAGGTGCACACCCAGCACTGCCAAGGAGGGATCGAGACCTGTGGGGGACTTAGCCCCAGGGTCTGAGATGTGGCAGGGGGCAGCGCAGGTGGAAAGGATAGCATTTTCCATGCATATGGTGCTGTCACGTACATCGTCTCCTTCATCTTCCCCATCGTCCTAGAAGTAGGTACTAACACGCGCATCCTCTGGATCAGGACCCGGGGTTCGCGTAAACGAAGCGGTTTTCCTCCAGGTCACGTGAACAGAAAGAGGCAGCACCGGGGTCCAAACCCATCACTTCTGGATTCTGCCCTCTTACGGGAGAGCTTGCCCCCAGCACACGTGTCTGAGGTCTGTTCTCTTGGCTGCAACGGCGTTTGTCGTCAGTCATTCAGAATATCCAGCAAGTTCCTTTTGCTTTGGTTCCATGCTCGCAAGGCCACTTTCTGTTTACCTTTCGCTTTCTCGCATAGACTCGTTGGTAGGCTGACCCTAAGTGTTTCCAACTTTAAGAAGTTTATTCTGTGGTCCTTGCGAGTTCGTAGGTTGGCATCCCTGAGCATGCTCGAGCCTCTGCTGATGCTGGGTAGGATAAGGCTTGGTAGCTCTGGGTTTATTGACCATCGAGGTTCCGGACATGGAATGGACCTCAAACTTGGGGACCCGCTCAGCCAGATTTGGGGTGACTTTCCTGGACAGCACTGCTCGGGCTTCACGTCTTTCAACTGCGGAACACAGTGGCAAGACCGGGCTAGCGGGCTTATTTTTGGAGGGCATGTTCTTGAACTCCACACTGCCTTCTTCTTGGGTTAATAGCACCATGCTTTGGTGACACATTAATACCTTCTGTCGTCATTAGCTCCCAATGCAAAGGGTAGAAAGCAAACCGTAAGATGCTAATAGAGCTTTTTTTTTTTTTAAATAAATAAAAAAGAAGGAATGCATCGTATCACAGTTACAAATCTCCGAGACTGAGACGAGGAGGTTCCTCTGTGTGGCAGCCTGGTACCGTCTATACGGAAGGACGGGCTTGGCGTGCCCACGCGCAGGCTCCGTGGCACTGTTCGGTGGCCCAGGTGACACACTTGTTTTGTCTGGAACACGCTATGAAGTATACGTTTTCTGCTGGAAGAAAAACATGTTTTAAGAGGTTTTGTTTCATTTCGCCGGCTGCTGATTCAAACACTTGTCCTGCTTTCATAGTCCGTGATTAATTGCAGGTTCCTACTCCTGTGGGAATTACTCAAGGCTCCTCTCAAAGCCGTGCTGCACTCGTCAGCGTGACTCACCTTTTCACGATTCCAGAGCTAATAACAGGGATTATCCAGTCGGCACTTCGGGAAATGAGTGAGAGTGAAGTAAGCTAGCGAGCTCCTTCTACCTCTCTTGAGTTTGAAACGGAAGGTTTTTTTTTTTTTTCTTTTCCCAAGCGTTTGCTTTTCTGTTTTTGTTTTCTGCAGAAGGGGACTGTTACGTTTGCTTTTCTTGGGAAAAAAAAAAACTTTTTAATGAAGTCTAGCCTATAGAAGAAAGCACAGATCGGTAATAAGTGTGCAGCCCGATAGATGTTGGCAGTATAAACCCACCGACGTTTCTGGCACCCCAGAACAAGAATCAAAACATGGCCAGCTGTTTGAGGTATAATTAACAAATAAAAATTATACGTATCGATTTGCTGTGCAGCATGGTTTTTTAAAATACATATACATTGGAAAGTGATTACCCCAAGCAAGTTAATTCACGTACCTGTGACCTCACGCTGTGCGTGCGTGAGAACGCTTACAATCTACTCTCTCCGCATAGTTCAGTTATGTAACACAGTATTACTGAGTCTAGTCACCCTGGGGTACATTAGGTCTTCAGGACGTATTTATCCTGCAGAACTGAAACTTTGTGCCCTTGGCCGACATCTCCCCATTTCCCACCCCTCCAGCCTCCAGCAGCCACCATCCCAGTCCCTGCTTCTGTGAGGTAGGCTTTTTACGAATCACACACATACAAGTGAGATCATGTAGTATTTGTATTTCTGTGCCTGGATTATTTCACTTAGCATGATATCCTCCAGATTCATCTGTGCTGTCACAAATCATGGAGTTTCCTTCTTTTTAAAGGCTGATCATTTTCCACTTAAAGACTGTGTATATATGCGTGCGTCCATATATATTATGTATATATGTGTGTGTGTATAGTGTGCATGTGTGTATATATGTGTGTATATGTAATGTGTATATATGTATACGTATATATGTGTATATATATGTATATATGTATATAATATATGTATAAATGTGGGTATGTATGTATATAATGTGTATATGTGTATATATAATGTGTATATGTGTGTGTATATAATATGTATATATGTATACATACATGTGTGTATGTATATATATATATATGTATACAATATATGTATGCATGTATATGTGTGTACATGTGTATGTATATATATGTATATGTGTGTATATATGTGTATGTATGTATGTATATATGTATACATATATATATATATACACATTACATACATATATATACACACACATAAACTCATGTCTCACATTTAATTCATCTATTCATCCAGTGATGGACACTTAGGTTATTTCCATGTCTTGGCTATTGTGAATAATTCTGCACTGAACATGGGGGTGCAGATATCTCTTCGAGACACTGATATCATTTCCTTTGGACATGTACCCAGAGGTGTGATTGCGAGGCTATGTGCTCCCTAATTTCTAACTCCTTAAAGATTTTCTTTGCCTTGAACTTTATGTAAATGGAATCAGACTATATACTCACTTGTCTGCTTTCCTTTTTTTCACACACTGCTAAGATTGTGAGTTTGAGTTTCGTCCGTATTATTAGGCCTAGCACTATTTGTTCATTTTTATTGCTGTATAGTATTCCACATCAAATCACAACTTATTCTACTGTTGATTCTGTCCCCAGTGACCAATGACGTGGACTCTCACTTCAAATATTCATCGGCCAATAATACTTAAATAATATTTATCTAACAGCGTTTCTCCATTTCTCTGTCGAGTCTTCTTTCTTTGGACTTTTAAACCTTTATTCTATTTTCTATAAATTTTTGAGTTTTTATTTTAGCTTGTAATCTACCGAGAAGTTGCAAGAATTATCTAATGAATACTCATATATCTCTTCATCTAGATTCATCAGTTATCAGCAATTTGCCACATTTGTTTTATCTATCTACCTATTTACGTATGTATCTACCTACTTATCTGTCAATGTTTTGCGGATCATTTGAGAGTAAGTTATAGACACTGTAACCCTTCATCTCTAAATACTTGAGGAGGGATCCCTTCAGCACAAGGACGTTTTCTTTCAAAACAATATTATTATCAAATGGGATGAATTTAGCATTTTCATATTGCTTTTATATGACATGGAATCCATATAAGAAATGTGGCAGGTGTCCTAATGCGTCTGTGATAGCATTTTCCCTGGACCAGGCCCACACGTTGCAGTCGGTTGTCACAGATCCGTAGACTCCTTTAATCAAAACAGGCTCTTACTCTGTCTTTGTTTTTCATGATATTGACATTTTTGAACAATACAGACTAGCTATTTTAGTTTTTTTTTTTTTTAGTGTTTATTTATTTTCGAGAAAGTTCAAGTAGGGGAGGGATAAAGAGGGGGGGACTGAGGGTCTGAAGCAGACTTTGCGCTGACAGTGCAGAGCCTGATGTGCGGCTTGAACTCACGAACCGTGAGACCACGACCTGTGCCGAAGTTGGATGCTCAACCAACTGAGCCACCCGGGTGCTCCCAGACTAGTCATTTTGTAGAATGTGTTCTGGTATGGATATTTCTGATATTTAAATCAGAGTTTTTATTCCTCCCAGGAGATTCCATAATTGATGCTGTGTCCCCAGCGCCTCACTTCAGGAGGCCATAATGTCACTTTGGTCACCCAAATAAAATGATTTCCACCCTATTTCTCCACCAGAAAGCTAACCTTTTCCTCCTATGTTATTAATCTATGGAGAAATGATACCATGTTGATATCAGGTTCCCCAACAACATTCACCCAACATTCACCCATTATATTGCCACTGTGGTCATCGCAAAGTGGTGATTTTCCAACCCCACGATGCCTTCTGTACTTGTTAGCTCGCATTTTGCCATCAAAAAACGAGACTTCGCTTCTTTCCTTTGTGTTTCACTGTCTCTATTTTTTACCACAGGGTGGACTCCTGTGTTCATTTTACATTCTGTGTGTTGTTCATTTTGGTCATTATTCTTTTGGAGAATCAACTCATTCTCCAAATTTGACCAGCGGGAGGTCCTACGTGCCAGTCAGGGTGCTTCATGTTCGGGACCCATCTCTGAACACTTCCTCGCTCTATGGCACAAGACATTCCAGGCTCCTTAGTAGAGTCATTTGATGAGTCCCTTTTCTTAATGAAGTCTTTTAAGGTTATCACTTTCTCTATTCTGATTGGGAAATCCTCGCTTAGCTCAGCATCGTGAAATGTGGTTCCCATGATTTCTTCTACAGGCTTCAATATGTTACCTTCCACGTGTGGACATGCGACCTTGCCTGAATGGAGTTTGTTTCTGGAGCTGTGGTGAGCTGTAAGAAGAAGAAAGAGAACTTGAGAATGAAATGGGGCACTACTGATTACACAGGGCCAGCAGGAATAAACCAGAACGGTCTTGGGGTAACTGGGACAAAGCCCACCGGGACCCTGAGACCCACTGCTGATGTGCGTTGCTTGCTGGTAACTTCCTGACCTCGGTGCCTACAGGTGTCCCCACCGCTCTGATGTCCTTGGTCTTCCTCAGACCCGCCAAGCACTCCCTCACCCGTACCATGCGCTGTCCCCTCCACCCAAACTCAGCTCTCCCGGACAGCCATTGGGTTCCATCCACCCTTCACTGGGGCCTCTGCTTAAAGTCACGTCCCCGGACACCCAATCCAGAAGAGCTCTGCCCTACACTCTTGGTCACTCTCTTACCCTGCATCCTTTTCTTCATGGCACTTACCACCGCCTGATGTGGCCTGACACACTGGCTCAGATTCTCTTTATGAACCGTTGGGGCCTGTGACACTCATGACCGCATCTGCCTCCCAGCAGGACGCAATCAACGTCCACCAAATGCACGACTGAGCGAGCTTTCGCCACCGCCGCGTCCTCACATCCGATGGACCTGGTCTTTCCCACCATGTCTTCTTCTTCAATGTTTAGTTGCTTCTTTTGCCTGCTTCTTTTTCTGGGGGGAAAAAAAAAGTTAGGATCCCCCTTCCCAAATTCTAAAATACATAAACAGAAACCACCTCTATTTGGATTATTTTTTGAAACTGTCCACAGCTAACACCTAATTAGGAGGCACACGCCATGGTCACCATGCTATGCCTTACCACCCAGCGTGTAAGAATCTCCAACCTTCCTTCCTTTGTGCCAGGTTCTCTTAAGGCTCTCAGTATGGAGTTCAGTTGTCTTCAAGATGATCTCGAGGTATTTTGTGTTACTGTAGTAAATGGTGTCCTTTTTCTACCATATCTTCTCCCTTGGGATTTTGGGTGTGTAGGAAAACTCCTTTGGGTTCGATTGTGTCGACATGTCCCCGTGAATTTATGTTTACGTGTGCTACATTGCAGCGCACTTCGGCACATCAGGCAGGTGGCGACCATCATGATGGCTGACACAGTTATGACGGCAAGATTCACAGCGACAACCACAGCAATAACGTGGCCACGCGGAGCATAACGCGGTCTCCAACACCAACAACATCTGGAGCCTAGGAGGCTCACGATAAGTATTTGCTGGATCCATAAATAAATTAGCACCCGTTGTCACAATCTTCATTTTTCCTGGTTTTACTGAGTGCCCCAAGTGAATCGCTGACTTACACCGACGACCATTGTTTTAGAGTAACTATCCTTAACGTGTGAGGCAAGAACCCTTCCTGTTCCAGTTTTCAAAGAGTTATGGCTGAAAAGGGGGCTGAAAGGTATCAGATGTATTTGCAACACCTTTGAGACGCTTCTATAACCTTCTTTTCAAATGTATCAATATAACAGATCGCTTAAATGTTACAACATCTTTCCACCCCCGGGTATAAATTCTGTATTTGTGTGTTTGTGTACGTGCATGTTCAGGTTTAGTCCAGAGGGGCGTGGTAGGGTTTTGATTAGGATTTTTACATTCTAACAATTTTTGAAAAATGTTTATTTTTGAGAAAGAGAGAGAGACAGAGAGAGAGACAGAGAGAGAGAGAGAGAAAGCACGAGTAGGGGAGGGACAGAGACAGAGGGAGACACAGAATCTGAAGCAGGTGCCAGGCTCCGAGGTGTCGGCACAGGGCTTGATGTGGAGCTTGAACTCACAAACGGTGAGATCATGACCTGAGCCGAAGTTGGACGCTTAACCAACGGAGCCACCCAGGCGCCCCTAGGATCTTTACGTTCTAGTTCAATGGATACGGATTTACAATTGCCATATCTGTGTTGTGCAGGTCAAATGTAGAAGTCAGGTTTACGCTATCTTTGCAGAAACACATCTTCTGTTAAATTATCAACGCAATTTGCTTAAAGAGATACCTGAAATCAGAGCCTCAGGAAGTAATTATTCAAAAACCTCTATACTATGTTTTAGTTATCGGCCTTGTCATTTAAAAAGTTTCTATTATTTAAAAATTTGCACAAAATATTTCTCTGTATTGACATTTTCAATTTTTTACTGAACACTTTCACTAAGTAGACTCATATCTTTAAGAAAAAGGTGTCGTATCTTTTCTCGTAACAACTTACACATTTCTAATTTCATTTCTTTGTATTTTGGAATTTCAAAAATTAGATTTAACAAAGGATTGCCTGTTTTACTGATTAGGAAAGGAAGCAACTTTTAGCTGAATTTATGGATTCCATTCTTTTTGTAATTAATTAATTTCTGCCATATTTCTCTTACTCCTCTCCCCGGGTTTCTTTAGGACTGATTTGATTTAAAAACAAAATTAAAAAAATGAAGCCTGAGGTGAATTTGAGCCCAGGTACTTTCTGTTATTCCTTTTGAAAAAGTGCGCCTTTCTCCCCGATGGCCTTATTGGTGGTGGTGTATGTGTTTTGAAATAACGTGATCTCATTTCTATTCTCATCTAAGTAACTGACCATTGTATATTTTCATTTACTTTTTACTTTTTACATTTACTACCAGTGTTTAGATAAGTGACTTTCATTTTTACTTATTTTTACATCTTTGAATGATTTTGGTGTTTTCTTTTGAGTCCGTTTGTTAACTTGTAAGTTTATTGGGGGCACCTGTGTAACTCATCGGTTAAGCGTTCGACTTTGGCTCGGGTCATGGTCTCACGGTCCATGGGTTCAAGCCCATGTGGGGCTCTGTGCTGACAGCTCAGGGCCTGGAGGCTGCTTCTGATTCTGTGTCTCTGTCTCTCTCGGCCCCTCCCCTTCTCGTGGTCCCTCTCTCTCTCTCAAAAAAAAATAAAACATTAAAACAATTAATTTGGAAGTTTATTGTACCGTGGTAGAAAAGAATGTGTTTTGTGCCATTTCTAGTTTGGGGAATTTAAGAGATCTGTCAAGGTTAGCATGTGACCAACTTTCTAAATTTTCATGGACACAGAAGAAGGAAGAAAGCCTACTTATTTCTAGGAAAAACTACAATATACCTGTACATTTCTTCCTATTAGTTTCTTCTTATTAATTAACACCAAGTCCCTGATGTTCACATGCTTTTCGTGTGTGCTTTATCTCTCTTGGACTGACAATATTGTTTTAAAATCTTATCACTGCTTCTCTGTTAAATGTCCTTGGCGATTATAATAATTTTTGCTTTATCGGTTTTGAGTCAGTGTATCTGTGTAACTCTAACGGCACTATCCTTTCCCATTGGATTTGGGTTTTGTGTCCATTAAAAATGGCCCTATTTGCCCCCATTAAATAGTATTTGCTTAAAATTCAGTTTCTCTGCAATTCTATTTCTTTCTTCTTCTTCTTTTTTAATGTGCTAACATTGGCATGTTGTGTATTTGCTCATTCTTTTATTTTTTTATCTCCTTGATTTTCCCCCTTGGGGTGTATTTTTGTAAGTAGCATGTCAGGGAGAATCTTGGCATTTTAATAAGTGGGTTAATCCATTTCTCGTCCTGCTTGCTTTTGTGTTTTGTGCTCTCGGCCTTAAAGCTCCGTGCCGCTCCATTTCTCATCTGCCCTTTGCCTTTGCCGTAGAGAAATGCGTTTAGCTTGCTCTTATCTTCTGAAATGGTTCTGAACTTTGACATTCTACATGTAATCCTATCAGAGCAGTGCTTTCCCGTCTGTTTGGCCCAGCCCCGGCCCTGTGAGATGCTCTGTGGGACAAAGATCTGTGGTCAAACCTCATGAGGAAGGAGGCATGCCATGTACCCCCTTAGACAGTCTTAAAGCCCAACAGTGTAGAAAATGCTCTGATAAGTCCTGCGGTGCCTGTCTTTGCCCTTTTCCTGAGTTACTTGTTTTAGGAGGTCTTATTTTACTATCATGGCCTGAAGCCCTCATGAAGATATTTCCCCAAATGTCAGTCAAGTATGAGTTTCTGAGCTCATCCTGGTACAGTGGGGAAACTTGCAGTATTGATAGGTTCCTCTCCCTGTAGCCCATCTGTCCTTAGGACTCAGCCATGGGGCCTGATGCCTCTAAGAAGAGAATGGCGAGTGCTCTGGAGCATAAATGCTCGCAGGGTCGAGAAGGAGAAGCGTCTAACCTCCAGGAGGTCCCCGTGGGGCATGAAGGGGTAGAGAATCTTCAGGTTGAGAGGGAAGAGAAGGAGGGGGAGGGGATAAGGGTGAAGAGGTGAAGGCCAGAATCCTGACCCCGCCCTAGGGTTAAGCTCTCCAGGGATAGAAAGGATAGTGACCCTTGGGGGGGGGGGGGGGGGGACAAGAAGTGAGGGTGGAAGCAGGGAGGCTTTTGTCGCATTTCCTGTTGGGATCTCAGGGACGCCAGCTGGTCTGTGGCCTCGCACCAGCCACAGAGACTGTGCACCCTGCGGTCCAGAGGGATCCAGAAGAAGGAAGCTGGGAGTTCTGGAGGGTCTCACAGGGACGTGGGGCTGCCCCTGTTGCCAAGGCTGCCGGAGGTGGCTGAGACCCTGAGGACCCGCAGCTCCGATGAGAATCAGTTGTAGGGCCTCGGGGGGGGGGGGGGGGGGGGGGGGGCGGGGGGGGGTCGCCTGGCTGTGCCCAGGGAGTCCCAGGCTTCCGCAGCAGAACCAGACGGGCACAGGTGGAACGGGGCCTCGCTCAGAGGTTTGAGAGGGACCCGAGCCTCGGTCAGAATTCCTTCTGGAAACACAAGGCACATTTGAGTTAGGACACCTGAGGTAGAGGTAAAGGAACTGTAAAGGCAAATAGACAACACGCCAATGTTAGCACATTAAAAGGAGAAGAAGAAGAAGAAGAAGAAGAAGAAGAAGAAAGAAAGAAAGAGAATTGCAGAGAAATTGAATTTTAAGCAAATACTATTTAATGGAGGCAAATAGGGCCATTTTTGATGGCCACAAGGGACACTGCAGCACCCCGGGCACGGAGAGAGGGTACTTACTGAACCCAGACACAGAGAGGGCTGCATGGAGGGGGCTGGCTCTGGAGCTGAGACCTTCAGTCAAGGGACCAGGCAGCCCTCAGTGACTCCGCAGGGAAGGAACCAGGGAAATACATTCCCCGGCCTCACTCTCCTCCTCCTTTCCATCTCTTGCTAACATCCCCATTTACTAGACCCAACCGGTAGCCACAGGACATGGAAACTTAGGGATGGGGTCCCTACGGGCCGGCTTCGCAGGGCCCAGAATGGCCTGGGGAGGACAGGCGTGCCCCTAGAGGACAACACCCGGCGACAGCACAGGGACCAGCCGGGGATTCAAGACCATGCCTGCCCCCATGCTGAGAGGCTAAGTTCACTTTCCTCTCTACCCAGATGCAATCCTGCTGGAAGGAGGGGCAAGGATCACAGAAAAAGAACCTGGCACACTCTTCAGCCGGACACTCACCACCTGCTTGCCTGGCCACCTCTCACCTCCCAGAGGAGGGATTTTCGCACCCACAGGGTACAGCGATGCAAAGGAGCACTAGGCATGTTTGCTCGCGTGAGCGAAGCTCGTTGACTGTCGACCCGGATCCACAGGTGCGTGAACACGTACGATGAATCAGCCTTAACTATGTATTTATTTTGGTAGCAGCAGGCGATTCCGACGGAGAGCCTTAGTCTCACGGCTAATGCCTCAGAACGATTCTCACTGTGTTCGCACGAATCAGCATCCGTGGTCGACAAGCCACGGATTGTCAAACAGTGATGTCTTTGCATTTACTTCCCTGTAACCGAAGGATTGCATGATTAGGAGCCTTACGGGAGCAGCTCCCACAAGGCCCCATTGATTGGAGGCTCTGCAGCAATGGGAGGGACAGCGTGTGTTTCTCCGTCTGTGACGTGTCAACGCCAGGAGTCAGGCCTGCTGGGTTTTGCTGCCGCGGCCTGGACTTGAAGGAATTGGGAGAACACGTGTGTTCCAAGGGGCTTCTTCCCGTCTTGGCCCCCGTTGTTCACGTGTAGCGCCCGCGCCCAGGCTCGCCAGGAGCCGCGGGGTCAGACCAGTGCAGACAGGGGCGGAGGTCACCGGCCTGATCCCTAGAAGGTTCAGAAGGTGGATGGTCCTGGTGGGATCAGCTGTGAGTGACAGGAAGAACGGATAACAGAGCCCCCAGAGTCATCTCTGGGACCACCACCGGGTGCCCCCCTTCTCTGGCTGTTGGGTCCCCACGCCCGAGGCTTCCTCGTGGGTGGACCTCAGCCTGAGCTGGTCC